ATTGAAGAGAAAATAAGACTTAATGTACTTTTTGTGTGCAAAAAAGCTTTTTTATCCTAAAGCAAATAAAAGGAAGGCTCAAATCACTCCAATGCCACTGAAGAGAGTAATTGGTGCAAAACTGGGAAAACAAAAGATTAGATGAAGAGATGGTGGAATGAGTAGAAGTTGAGATATGCTTTGAAATGTAAGATCTATGTCTAGGATTTAACACAATTCCTGTCACAAAAATACAATCAGTAAATATTTATTATATAATCATTTAAATTCTTACATCCAAGCACACAAATGGAGGCATAAAGTACATGGTGATACTAGATAAACTAGGACACAATAATTTTTCAGTTAAAATTAAGGGTATATATTATATTAAATAATTCAAAACATTCCCTTCTTCAGAGATTTTTCATACATTTCCAAAAGAACTGCTAATTGCATCTTTATATAATTCAAAATACTTAGTTTAAAAAGTAGTTTCTAAAAAGGGATTCACCTTTTTTCATAATTGGTCAAATTATTTCCTCCTTATGACAAGAATAATCAGAAGAATGAAGCAATTGAATTAGATATATATGTTGTGAATCACATTTTGAATATATTTAAAAATACTCTGCTGAATGTCACATAAAAATAACTTATTTTACCATATTTAAAATCATTGTAGGGCCAGGAAGATAGCTCAGTAGAATAAGTGCTTGCTTGGCAAGCACAAGTTTCTGAGATCAATCCCCAGTACTGCAAAAAAATTTTAAAAATAAATAAATAAAACTAAAATCAAATCAAATCATTGTAAATCAGGAAGTTTCCTAATCAATCATATAATTTAGTGAGGCTTTTACATGATATCTATCAGACTTTTGCGAAATGCCTTTCTTACTGCATAAAGCTTCCCTTTAATATTGAGAAGACATGTTAGTATTTCCCTTTATTTTTTCAGCTTGTAGATGACAGGATCAGGTTTATAGACTGTGTCCTATCTAAATTCAGATACTTGTTGAGTCTAAAGTGACATTCTCATTTCTCAGATTCTACAATGCAAAGAACTTCATTTTGTTTCTATCAGCTATTCTAAAATACAGACTATGTTTTTTTTTTTTTTTTTTTTTTTTTTAACCAGGGATTGAACTCAGGCCCTTGCACTTGCCAGGGAAGTGCTTATTCTGCTGAGCCATCTCCCCGGCCCCCAGACTATGTTTTAAAAGAGATAGGCTATTAACATTAGAAATTTGGTATCATTCCCATTTTTAAAAAATATATTTCAGCATTTTATGAAGCATACTAAGAACACTTGAGTCCTCTGATACCATCCTGCTTAGATGAAGAGAATAGACCAGTACATGTGGCAAAGTCAGAACTTTCAGACAGAACAAATGTAGAGAGTGAATTCCCAGGTCACGGGTTTCATAGCAAAAAGCTTATTCAGCAACATTTTTAAAAACATGACTATCTTCCAGGCAGAAAGGGTTCTCAGAATAAGCCATAATGCTACGGGCTGTAGCTGAATCATTACCGATCTGCTCATCTATATGTAGTCATTCTCCTAATCTGTATATTTCAAGGAGGAAAGAACCTGCTCATTGCTTGGTAACATTTTGCACAGTGGTACACCCTGGAAGGATATTTTCCTTGTAATACATGAAAGTTTCACATTCCATAAGGAGGCTGTGATTTTTCCTTTAACATTTTTCAGTAAAATTCTTGAGCAATCATTTATTTATTATCTAAATACAATAGAGAACATATTGGTGATGCCATACAATTGTACGTCATTTTCACGGGATAATACTAGAGAATCACCTTCACACTGATTTTGAATTATTTTTCCAGTCATAGCTTTCTGTTTATTCCTGAAGAGAATGTGTCTAGAATACAATAGGTAAAGGATAAAGGAAGGAAGAACTCTTCCTGAAAATAATACGTTGTGTCACCAAAAATGCACACACAAGCTTCAGGAAAAAAAGGACAGTATGATGTTTTTCATCATATGATGTTATCCCTGAATGTGAGACCCTGAAGGATGCTGCATATAACAGAAAATCCACTATGCTGCCAGCCCTTAGAGAAGAAATTGGAAGGGTATGAACCGCCAAGGCTACACGAGAAACACTTCCCTGTGCTAATAAACGTCTGGAAGCTCATGGCCACCACGTGAAGTACTTGGAACTGCAGAGGCCAAAGGTAACTTGTATTAATCTCATGAGGTCTCAATAATGTAGGAATAAAATATTTATACAAGATTTTTTTCTTTTCCTACAGTGTACAAGCACTGTAGGAAAGCATATATATTGAATATATATATGTATATATATATATATATATATATATATTCAATAAATAAAATCAAACAAAGCTTTGATATTACAATTATTCAATATTGTACAACAGCTTTGTAACTCTTTTGGGATCTCAGCGAAGCTTAGGATTTATCACATTTAAAATCAGGTAACTTGAGCCAACACTTCTTGCTTATAGTAAGAAAACTGCATCATTTAAAAAATATGATTTTCTGGAAGTGAGCGTTCTGAAGTAATTAGTTAACAGCAGGGTCTTGTTATATTAGTAAAAACATGATGAAAATTCCTTTAGAAGCCAGTGCCTTAGGGATACTTCCCAGAGTGTTTGTATGTGTAATTGTTAATTAAAAAGAAAAGAATAAAACTAAATACAAATAGACAATATACAACCATTTCCAGCTCACTGTAAATTTTCAAACATGAGCATCAACTTATTTCAATTTATACTAGAGCTGATACCACCACATTTTTTATTTCGTGCCATAGATGGCGCAACTCCATGGTTGAACAAGTCATAGTATAAAGTTAGAATTAAATCTACACCAATACCCGAAGAAAAACCAATATTTAACGTATTCTGTATGCTTTAATTATTTTTTATTTCAACTAATAATTCAGCATATAAGGAGGTTAGTAGCGTAAGTGCTTGTCCCTGCATGTTTTTATTATAGCTACTGCACGCTTCATAAGGCTGCAAATCTAATGGAAGCCTCTGCTTTGGAAACATCAAGTTGTTTCAGGTACTAGAAACACCGTTGTATGCTAGGGAGAAAAACAAGACCTGAAAGGGGAGGAACAAAAGCCTGGCAAGGAGAAGCACAGGCAGCAGACAAGAATGACACCACAGAGAGCAGCTGAAGAGAAAAAACTGACCAAAACATTGCAAAGACAAAAAATAAGATAAGCTTATAGAAGAAAATAATGACATCATGATATAAAAGAGATGGCTGTTTTGGAATTGGTTTTACCAAGATGAGCCTTGATCTTAATCAAAGGTTTGAAAGAAGATTATTTAAGTCTTCTGTAAAATAAAAGTGAAATGCAGTCTTGGAAGTTTTGTAACAAATACGTGGACATTTCCGGGGTTAAATCACTCTGTTAGGCATTTTTGGTGTTAGTTCAAAAACTCAATTAGAAAAGTCTCTTTAATACTATCATAATTTAAATGTATCACATATTCAGTGTATGCTAAGTTTTGGATATGAATAACCTGCATTTAGGATTTTAGACAGATAATTTCTTTAAAACAAAATCTCAAAAAGTTTTATTTTTTTTAAATTTTTTTATTTTTTTGGCAGAACTGGGGATTGAACTCAGGCCCTTGTGCTTGCCAGGCAAGTGCTTATTCTACTGAGCCATCTCCTCAGCCCCTCAAAAAGTTTTAAAATAGTTTTTAATAATTCTAAGTTCTTATTTAGGAAGATGTGATGCTTTATATTTCATATAGTTAAATGTTACCGTAATGAACTAATCACTTTTAGTTATTCAATATATTTCACTAAGAATAATTACATTCCAATTAAATGTAAAATATTCATTTAATTTCTAACCAGGTCATAAGACATATTCACATTGAAAATTTATACATTTTTAAATGATATGGCATTAACTAATATAAAATTACCCTCATTCCTTAAAAAACTGATGTCTTTAAGAACGTTTCTGAAAAGCAGACTAAGTTATAGAAGAAGTTTTGCAAAGAAAATTGTATAATTTTGCAAATTGCAATTTTTAAATCATATGAAGTCAAGTTTTATGAAGTTGATTTTTTCTTCTGTCTCCAACTAAACCATGATGTTCTAGAAAGTCATAATTGGATTATGTTTGCAATAGAATACCCGACAATCAATGCTGATTACACATACCAGGCACTTGATAAGTACTTGAGAAAAGAGTTTATTTTATAGGTTGAGCCAATTATTTGAAAAAAATTCTAGTGTTGAGCATGCTTGAACTGTCAGCTACATTTATTGAAGGGAACTAATGTATAATAGCCTGCCCAAACTACAAAGACTGGAAAAGAACACTGAAGTCTCCCTCTCTGATGAACTTTGCCCCAATGAAATAAGCAGGAAAAGGAAAAGAAAGGACTAAAAGGAGAGCGATGAATTCTGTATTTTAGAAACTTCATGCAGGCACCCTTCCTATGTGAAAGTTACACAAGTCTGTTCCCATGGAAACCACTGGCATTCAGCAGTGTGTCCCATTTTTAAACCTGTGACTTGTAGATTATCAGATGGATAAATACATGGTTAATAAGCACTAATTGCTTCCTTAGCACATATACTATGCCTTATTTCAACAGAAAGAAGCTTACACATCAGAAACATTCTTAAATATACATTTTTATATTGGAAATATGAGCCTTACAGTATTTGAAAATATTACTATTCAGTTTTTTAAAGAAATATTAATTTTTCATTCAAAATCAAAACTTCTTATGGAAAAAAAATGTTCATTTTGGGTACATTTTCTTAACAATAAGAATACGATATTTGTAATGCAAAGCTTAACATTTTCAAACACTAAGATAATTTTTGCCTATGAGCATATATTCAGTTGTAGGATCTCTATTTTTTGAGTAATAACCTTTTAATTATTCTGCATAAATAATGGCATTGCTTCACCCTTATGTTTGTGAATTGAAGAAGAGTCACTTCTACATTACATCTGAATGCATAAAGTGTAGGTAGGAGGAGGACTTACCTTGAAAAACGTCATGGTGGCACCATCTTCCACAGCTCCATACTCTATCTTCGTTTGTTTAGCTAAATCATCAGCAGAATCAATAGGGGATTCCATGCGTTCCACTGTCAGGAAGGCGGCTAAGTTAGCAGTATACGAAGAAATGATGATAAGTGTGAAAAACCACCAAATGCCTCCCACTATCCTGGTGGAGAGTGCTTTAGGCATGAGCTCAGAACCTAACAGAGATGGGGGGAGAAGTGAAACGAATACAGAGAATTTGATCAGCAATCAGATACTTCTGGTGATAGCTGGCAGAATGGAATCACTGTGTAACAAGACCTCAGGTCATCGATTCTCACTTTGCTTTGATAAGCAAGCAACAACCGCTGGAAGAACAGAGACTAAATTCAGGTAATTGATGACCTCTTAGACCCCTTGTGTCTGTTTAAGTATAGTGACAGGAGACTGTAGTTTGGGTCTACATGGTGTGAGGTACCAGTTATGCAGGAACGAGTAACAATTGTTTATAAAGGTAGCATTGGAAGAGAAGAAAAAGAAACTCCACAGTCTACCTACCACTTGGATATTCACTTCTACCCTTGTCATTTATGTGGGTTTCTGAGAAAATGATTGAACATATGTTCAGATTTGTTTCTGAACAAGCTTTATGTCAAGTGTCATTTTTCTTGTGCCTGTAGATCAAACATGTTCTCTATTTCCTTTCAGAAAGTAATGCTGTATAATAATAGGAAAATTTCAGTCATCCATGTTTCTAGCAGGAATGTGTTTATTTTAGACTACAGTAGTAAATAACTTAAATGTGTATAAACAAATATCTCCCGTCACTATGGTTAACTGCAATTAAATTAGGAAAAGAGAAACTAGCTAAATTGTACCCGGTTCATTTTTGTATGAAAATAAATATTTCATAAATACATCACAATACATGGCTGGAGTTGCCTGCCCATAGTATTAATAAGAGAATAGGATATGAAAATTTGATAATAGTTTGATCTTTTTGAATTTTAATTCATTAACATGATATAATATAATCATAATTTAAATTTTTGGTCTATTAATTAAATTTAATTATAGTTTTATGTTACTTACAGTCTTACTGGTGAAATGAAGATATCAAAATATGAGGCTTTTCATTAGATTGTACACTGAAATTTTAGATGTATATATAAAATCCATTAACATCCACTTTTAAACATTTTAAATCTATAATCAAAAAAGCATGAGCTAGAGAGTTCTCAATTTTTAAGAAGGTCTGAGTAAAATGGATGTAGCAAAGATGGACTCTTTACTGATTTGTTTCATAGTCCTGTCTTTGATAAAATCACTGACACAGTGATATAATCTCGTTAGATAAAATGCATATTGAAACAAGATATTCATGTTCAAACTGACAGATAAATGATA